GGTGCCATGGATGCAGTGGCTGCCGAGAGCAACTTCGGCGTCGTGTTTTTGTTCACATGGACAAGTCCCGAAAAGTTTTGATTTTGTGACTGCTGAGACAGCCTCAGATTGCAGTCATGAAGATGCTTCCTATGACAAGGGCTCTGAAACCACAGAAAGCTCTGAGTACCCACCATGGTCCTAAGAAGGAATGATTCACTGGCTCTGTGACAGATGTGAGCCGAGGTTGCAAAAGGCAGTGGTCAGACAAGACCCGTACAAGACAAACCAATATCTTCCTCGCCCAGCTATCTTGTCTGACATGCTGGCCTACCTTGAGTCAGCTGCTGAGGATCAACGAGAGATGATACAACAGATGCTGGAGGACATCGCAGACCCTTCAAGTGATGAGGATGCCCCAGAACGGTGGTCATCGTCATGGAATCAACTCAGTACGCTCTTCCGGAGTTGCCACAGCTTTCGTCCATGGTGTGGCGCCAACACAGCTGTGTGGATGTGACAGTGATGGCCCAAAGGGCAATGGAGGTGAAGGTGTTTCCTTCACAACTATGGTCTTGACTTTGTGGACCCTTGCGTTGGGAGCTCATACATGGTTTTGGCTACGCAAACCAGTCTCCGTGGTGGCACTTTCCTCCTCCACCGCCTGATAGCTTGGCAGTGAGATGCGGATCTGCTGACCCAGAGGTGCACGAAGAGCCTTCTATCCAAGGTCTTCTACCCTGACCCTTCGACGCATCAATGGAAGGCTTGAACGTGCTCAACGCAATGGGAACAATGGGAATCTGGGAAGATTCTGACGCCTTCAGAGTCGAACCTGGTTGCTGAGCTGCATCTCTCATCTGCCGGAAAACTCAGTGTCCAAGAGGCAGAGGATTAAGAAGTGATCAGCGAAACGAATCAGATGAGTGATGATTTGGATTTCTCCGCTGCATGGGTTTGGAGAGCCAGAGAGCCAGGCAGCCGTGATGATGGCTCACAAGGCCTTTGGCTGTTTCATGGGCCTGTTGGAGTACGACCGCCATGAAGAGATCGCCGTGCTCCTTGGCCAGCTAGGTGCAACAATGAGGGAGAAGGGGCCTCCAGAAGACTCTGATGAGAGCATGCCTGCGGAGGTCAACTCGGAAAGCTCGGCGCTATGCCGATTGTGGCCGGTCGGAGGCGTCAGATCCTGACTTCTGGGCCTTGGTCCACCATATGATTCCCCACCAGATGGACATCGAGATGAAACTGGTCATGGGATTATGGAGTTCTGAGTGGCGCGTGGCACCACAAAAGTGAGTCGCTGGTTTGGGGATGAGTCCCAATCAGAGGCTTCAGTGCCAACTTTTCACAATGGAAGGTTTCACTCTGAAATGGTTCCAATAGATCAGACAGGATGGCCAAACGCATGGCCTGCGGAACCCGTGCCATAGTGATACCTAGAAATTCTGGTATCAAGCCGGGGTGAAACACATTTCCGCATTTGCAGTTGTGTGCATAGGCATGTCAGTCATGCAGTTGTGCACATGTCACAGCACAAATCGAGTAGTGTACATTGTGTACATCAGGATCAATTCTGAGGCGCTTTCGGTTCCAAAAAAGTTCGCATGTTTCGTCGTTGAAGCAACTACTTTATGGTACTTCCAGCTCGTGCAATTATATCAAGTAACTTCTGGTAGCTTTAGTGCTATTGAAAAACATGTCTATTTTCAACATGGTGATACACCTTTTTGTTTTTTGTTCCAGAGTTGATGACTGGTTCGCGCCGGCCCATTTGGCCATAGTCAGCGGTCGACATATGTATTGAAATTCCTGACAAGTACAGTTTCCGAACTGCATCGCGTAGAGGCTCCTGAATGGAATGTGTTAAATTATATAGATGTAGTGATTTTTGCACGATACTATGTTTTTGTGGCAAGTCGCATCGGAGTGGTGACAATGCGCATGGTTTGGCAAGTGTGGGAACAAATGGGTAGGTTCGCAGGCTTACCGGCCCAACGGCTTAGTCATTATGATCGAAAAACCGGTCACAGTTCGGCATGAATGGGTGTATTTGAGTTCATTCCCACCATTAGCGTCCTGATCTTTTGTTTTTCATTGAAACTGGGCATTGGAACAAAGTCTCGTGACCAAGAAAAACGGTTCAGGCAACTTCAGTCGTAGACTGCGTTTACTTCATTTTTTTTTGTGTGTTCTTGCATGGGTTGCTCAATCACTCAATCTGAAGGTTTTTGTTTGTAGGATTTCAATGAAGCGGATTAATGGAACCACCTTGGGAAACAATACGCAGCATTTAAAAGTGCAAAGTGATCCTTTAGACACACAGCACTGCGTACAAGCGATCACACATGAAAAAATATTGCTATGCCAAGCGTGCCTTACAACTGTCCATTGCTGAGCAGGTGAGAGCATTGCGAAAACTTCAGTGAACACTTTTCAGATACCCAACTGGGCATCACAAATACGTAAAAACACAAAAAATGAAGACCTTCAAAAAAAAAAAACCAGACAAACCAACCCAGACCCAGCAGGCGGAATGCATACAAAAACAAAATGCAGCAACACAGGGCAGAGATACAAAATGATACAAAACAATGCAAAATGCATGCAACGTGAGAAAAACAACTGTTGTATATTGAGAAAAATAGACCAGGAGGAACTAGGAGAAGTGATAAACCTTTGTGATCCTTTGTGCAAGAACTGTGTAAATGTAAATTGGCAATTTTAGGTGCTTGAAATCATTCACCTGATGTGGATGGAGGTTTTGGCGAGCCGTTTACTGTAATAAGGGCCTTCTGTTTCCAAGATGGCAACATGTGGCAACAATGCCGTTCACCAAGTCGCATCACATGCTGCGGCGACAGGATGTACTAATATCATGAAATTATATATATGTTTAAAAATCCGTCCCTGCACACACGCACACATACGCACACGCACACATTTTTTTCGCATATTATTAGTTACATGCATGCATGCATCGAGACATAGAGACATAGAGACATAGGGACATGGAAACATAGAGACATAGAGTCATATAGACATAGAAACACAGATACATAGAGACATGGAAACATGGATACATAGATACATAGATACATAGATACATAGATACATAGATACATAGATACATAGATACATAGATACATAGATACATAGATACATAGATACATAGATACATAGATACATAGATACATAGACATACATAGATACATACATAGATACATACATAGATACATACATAGATACATACATAGATACATAGATACATAGATACATAGATACATAGATACATAGATACATACATACATACATACATACATACATACGTCCATGCATGCGTGCGTACATCCATCCATCCATCCATCCATCCATCCATGCATGCATGCATGCATGCATGCGTACGTACGTACGTACGTACTGTATTTATATAACATGCACGATTATATCTGTGTATATCTATGTATTTGCACATGTATCTATTTGCTGGGGATATCGTTTCGGGAATTCGACGTTTAGAACTTGCATTCCTCTCGTGCTGTGTCCACATTTGAGCGGAACAAACAAAAATTGAGTGATGTGGGTTCTGTCATGATTTGTCATGTTTAAAAGATCAGAAAAACCCCCCAAAAAAATATCAGGTTGCATCCCGCATTCCCCAAGGCGTCCTGGGTTTCGAGTGCGGGAAAATATTGAAACGGAACAAGGAAATATACAAAACTAGCCGGCTACTCGCTTCTGAAATCATGACCATATGACCATCATTTCAAACAAAATGCAGCAAATTCATGCAAATTCTTTAAAACAAACTGGCTTAGACCTTTGATGTTATTTACAGTGAAACTTGCCGGATGAAGGATGGCTACGTCGGCACCAACATGGGACGTGCTTTACCCAACGGTTTTCTGGAGGATCCGCAATACACATTGCCCCCATTGTCGCACCAAGCAAGAGAAAACTTCGAACTCAAATCAAACTGTTGCGCTAAGAAGTCGTTGGTGTCAGATACGAAGCGTACACGGCGTAAATCAAAACATAGGACCCAGTTTTGCAAGGCCTTTGTGAAAAACTCGGTGACCAGCTCCGGGATGCCAAGAATACGACACATTGGAGTACCCTAGCCTATCTCATGGAACCCTGCCGCCCGATAAATTCTTGGACATTTTTTTTGTTGTGACATCATCATCAATTTGAAGAATTGAATATTTACATGATCTTGAACGACCACGATAGATAACTCCAACCCAATTGTGAGCCGTAGACTTCCTAGCCTTGAAGTGGCCACCAAGTACGGTTCCTGAAAAGGGACGAGGCTGTGTTTGTGTTGTCAAAGCTTCGGTGTTTTCAACATTCAAGGGCGAACTGGGACCCAGTGCAATTACCACGGTGTTCAGATTTATCTTGCTATTGTCTTACCATCGGTGGCGAGCAATGGGATGTTGTCACGACTTAATCTTGGAAACATGCTCGGTATATCTTGGCATCTTAAGGCCGTGTCCAAAGGTGTCCTCGCGCATCTCGTGTTTCCGTTCAGACAGTGCCCGCCGCCAAAAAAAAAATTGACGCCCTTCTGTACCGCCACCGTTATGAGGAAAATGATCAGGCGAACTTGGCGCTCTACTGTTTGGCCAGTTTGATTGCCGTACAGGAATGCCAAGACCCAAACCAGATGCTAGGAATTGTCAACCCACGTAAAGGTTCCTATTTTCGGATGTGTTAGTGGGAATCAACATGTTGGTGTGGGCGCATGTTTCACAGAATTGTTTATTCGCCTTGGTGTGCTTTAAGTGGACGGCCTGCGTGCGGACAAAATCAAAATCAAAACTAAGACTAGTCGAGGCGAGGCTTGTATGCCAGAGTGGTTGCCATTGTCTAGTGTAATGCAGCGTAGTGTAGTGCAGTGTAATGCAGTGTAGTGTAGTGTAACATAATATGATGCAATGCAGTGTATTGTACTGTAGTGTAGTGCAAGGTAATGCAATGTATGAACATGCATTGTATACTTTGCTGCTATCGTGCGCATGCGGGCTTGTGCGCGTGTGTTCCAGTGCTCGGGCACTACACTACATTACAATACATCACATTAGACTATATTATCTGCAAACATACATCCATACATTCAATGCATGCATGCAGACAGACACGGAGAGGGAGAGAGAGAGAAGAGAGAAGAGGAGAGAAGAGGAGAGAAGAGAGAGGAGAGAGAGAAGAGGAGAGAAGAGAGAGAAGTGAGAGAAGAGAGAGAAGAGAGAGAAGAGAGAGAAGTGAGAGAAGAGAGAGAAG